TAATCGGCTGCTCGCACTGTATGCTTCCCGGGAAGCTGAGAATGTTTCGGAGTGTTCTATGGTCTGCTGGGGTAATAATATAGTGTAAAGCGCATAGAGCCTGCTGTTGAGCGGGGATATGCGCTATACAAATGCTATCTATTATTATTATTATTGTATTTAGAAAATAAATCTGAATAGATATCTGTTCACAATTTTGATTTCATGTTAGGGGACATGTGATCGCTTTTAAGGACAAGCGGGCTAGCCCAGAGTACGGGGGTTTCCAGACATCTTGACCCACACCAAAAGTGGAAATTGCCCTACCTTTAGAAGAAGTTTGGGTTCATTCATGTGTATATTTGTTTTGTTTAGTTATAAGAAAACTCTCGTTGTCTTTTAAAGAAACTGAACAGGGATCCAAAAACTTTACCTTCGATTTTCTCAAAACTGCATTTTTCGGGATAGCCCCCTTGTGCTTAAAAGTGACCATGTGATCTCCAAATTCAGGGAAATTTTCCTAATTTTTTGTTTTACCTGCTGATAGTCAGCTGTATAGATTCAGGAATAGGGAGAGAGTTTTCTCTTCGTTCTTGTAGCTTCAGTTGTCATTATTAACCTCTTTTGATGAGTGTTAACAAAGATGGTACATAACAAGATAGATCTAGTTCACTCAGCCAAAAAAGTGTCCGCGGAAGTCCGCTCGTTGGTTCAGATGGCGCAGCAGTCATTGTTTTGAAGCTCTCTTTCGTTTCTCCACAAGAAGAATAGGAATAGCACCTCCTTGCGTGTGCAGATCGACTGCTGTTCATCAGCTGTTCATGTTCGTTCAGTGTGGAGTTTTAGGGTTTTTTTATTTTAATGACCTCTCACCTCTCATTCTAAAGTCAAATTAAACGAAGAAAACAGTCGCCTCTTCCTCGGGAAGAAATTTTTATGTCTGCATAACCATTTCAAAAAAGCGTTCTTCCAAAACTCGAATTCTTATAATTTATTCAAAAACTTGTTAGCGTCACTTTGATTTTTTTCACACAAGTAGGGTAACTCTGTTCGCAACGGGTGCGCCTTTGAGAAGAAGGCGCCACCGGATTTTGAAGACACTTTTTTAATTGGCTCAAAGAGAGGAGTGAACTATCTTGTTCTGTAGACTCTTTGGTGTTACCTACCAGGGCATAACCCAGCATGTGCCATTACTTGTTCTTGTACTTCTAGTCTGACATCCCATGGCTGTTCCGTTTTGATTGGCTACTATTTTTATGGTACCGGTATTTGTTGTTTACCTGTGAAACCAGCCTTATCCCTCTGTGCTTCAATTATGTTTGATTTTTATCTACCTTTCATAGTTGCTGTTGTATTTCTGTGTGAAATTAGTCATATTAGTTGACATTTGTGAAGCGAGCTGATAAAATGAGTTAGTTCTCGGATTCAGGCCTTAAGGAAATAGATACATCACACTTATAGGTGAAGGTTTTACATTTTATAAGTATGAAATAAAAGGTATGTTATACCTAAGGAATATGGCATCAATAGAAAATCTACAAATTTGACCCTAGTGTCAATTTTTGGCCAATATCTCCATTTGTGGACTGCGAGAAGTAACTCATTTTGTCAGCACGCCTCACATTTTGAATCCTGTGTTGAACACGCTTTGTTTGACTGTTCTCTCCTTAATGAACTTGAACTTAATGTTATTGAAACAAGGTATTACATGTATTATATTCAACAGCTCAATCAATGGCAATCCATTATATTTAGAATGGAAAGGAGTCGCATTATTTTGTCTTATTTGCAGCATTGTAGTACCTCAGTGTAACAGTAGCAGTAGTGCAACGCTTAACTCTTTAAACCCTGAGTTTTTTCCACCGCTTCCCGCAGTTTTTTCTACAGTCACCTAAACCTAGTGCTCTATGTCTCATTATAAACACAAAAGCTTTCCTCCAACTTCTACATCATGGAAACAAAGACTAAAATTCATTACTGAAAAAAATCTTGGTCTGGGAATAGTTCCGAAAAACAAGCAAAAACTAGCACTAAATGAAACGAAACAGTTGTCTCTAGTGTCCGATGGAGAACAGGGTTATCATCGCCGGAGTTTAAAGAGTTAATACATCAATTGTTTGACCTTTTCATTCCAAGCTTCTCTGCGTGAGCATCCCCTCAGTATTCACTGTTCTGTGGTGAAACTTGAAAGAAAGTGTATCATTTTTGGGCAAGTTGAAAAATTAATTACTTTAACCCTATCCGTACATCGTGTTTTACTATCGTATCTGTATGACGTGGGGAACTCTGTGCCACCACTTTCCAAAGAGCAGGAAATTTACTCGTTAATCAAATCCGTAAGCTTTGCATAGTTGTCTGTCAAAATGATGTTTTGAGAAATACTGAAATTTTCAAAGAGATCTTTGTACTGGAAGTATTCTAAAATGTGAAGAATATAACCCTGGGGGTACAAAATGACCCCAGGGCGTACGTATAGAGGAAAAAAATGAAAAATTTATCCACAGAGATACAAACAGGGTATGTGCTGACAGTATTCTTTTTTTTTAATATATTAATTTTTATCATACTTAGTTGCAATAGAATTTGCTGTTTGAAATGATAGCTCAAACAAGATATCTCTGTAATACAGGGTGCCCATTTGGGGATCGGGTCTCGGATCGTCATTTACTAGTACAAAATATTAGAAAGAAAATGATGTAGGAAAGGGTAGGCCCTACTGTTTTATTTTATATATATATAGATATATATATAGATATATATATATATATATATAGATATATATATATATAGATATATATATATACATATGTATAAATATATATAATATAATTATATAAGAAAATATTACTCCTTTTCAGTGGTATTTTACATCACCGTATTGTATTTTCAACTTATTTACAGTTACTGGATTGTTTTGTGCTCAGGTAGTGCATTGTTATGTGAATTTCATTATAAATGTAGCTGATACTGATTATTTTGTTGTAGAGGAAAATTCGTGGTAGATCAAAAATCAGTGATTAGACAGACATAGTAAAACATAGGCATAACAAATGAAATCTACGTGGGGAAAGAACTGGTGATGTTCACTCTGTCTACAGGCTTTTTCCTCAAATCCCCAAAGTGCATCACAATGATAACATGAAAAGAAGAAATCTGTCTGAAATCACCACTAATTTACTCACTTATTGAATGTGGGTGGTAGGCGGGTGCTCTGGTGTGGTTTGCTTCTTCTTTCCAATCAAACATCTATCGTCCTTATCTCCCCTTCTTCTTTTTTTATGTTTGTTACTCTCTTGTAACACCTCTAATCTTCTGGTGCTCATATATGACCTTATGATGCAGTTGCGAGTGCCGTAAGACCTCTACTATAAAACTTAACTAACTAATTGAATGTTTTAACTGTAAACCTCACTCAAAGACTTCTCAGAAATCTTTCATGAAGGAAGTCTCTGGACCTAAATTTTCAGTTAATAGGTCTAAGGTACTTGTGACATCATCAGTTTTCTCCCTGTAGTTTTTAATTTTTATGTCCAGATGAGTTTTTAGCTGTGGATTATTTTAAAATGTTGCCATAAGATAAGAATTAGTTTGAGTTTGTACATTACATATATTTGTCAAGCAACATTACACTGTATTATATGTCTTGAGTTTTTTTGGTTGGAAGTTGGAAATGGTTTTTTTGCTACTCTCACAGTCTACGAAGCAAGAGAAAACCTGTACAATAAACAAGTGTGTCTGTACCAAGTGTTGAAATGCTGGAAGGGAAAATATTGAAACACAGCAAAAATCCAATGCTGTTCATACCATGCCTATCTTAGTAGAGCGCTCGTCTCCGAAGCGGAAAGTCTGGGTTCGAGCATCAGTTTGGACACATTTTTTTCGCCGCCCCCCCCCCCAAACAGTAATGGGTACCTGACTTCGAGTTGGGGAAGTAAAGGTGGCGTGGAAAGAAACTGGCCTCCCTACCACAATATGCCAAAGGCCCAGGCAGTTGTCTCACTAACAAGGCAATCCCCAATGTCCAGATCGGATAAGGGAACAACTTTATTTTTTACCTTAGTATCTAGAGTCAATGGTGATTTTGAGTGGGTTTTGATCTGGCAGATTGATATTATGATAAAGCAGTTGCTGATCGTTAAGGCTCAGTTGATGTGTGGAAAATAATTCTGACTCGACTAATTCACCTATCCGTACGTCGTGTTTTACTATCGTATCCATACGACATGGGGAACTCTGTGCCACCACTTTTCAAAGAGGAAATTTACTTGTTAATCCGATCCGTACGCTTTCCGCAGCAGTCTGTCAAAATGATTTTTTGAGAAATACTGAAAGTTTCAAAGAGATCTTCGAATTAGAAGTATTCTAAAATGTGAAGAATATAACCCCTGGGGTACAAAATGACCCCAGGGCGTATGGATAGGGTTAAGTGTGTGCTGTTGTTGCAGCTACATGTAGTTACCAGGGAGAAACATGTCCAGAAACTGGTTTATAATTAATAATAGGGCCTACTAAAGCCTCATCCAATAGCTCTGATCAACTAAAAACTTAATTTTTGTCTTGCATTATATTCCTCTTTATTGATCATGTATAGTTTGATCGGGGTAGTAGACAGAAAGTCTGTTTTGACAATTCGGTAATTTCTTTTCCTGCGAAGAACAGTAGCCTACAATTTTGCTTTTCTACATCTGCCAGTTCAGTCCACGCCGGCTTTAAGCTCGGTCATCGGTAGAAAGCATTATATATTATATAAGAGTGCTTAATGCCGAGGCGTGCTTGAGTGCGAAGTAACATTATCCGGACGTTTTCCATCATGTAGAACATTTCCTGAGCTATTTCCCTTTGTTTGTAAGCCGTGGTCGCTCAAAAGTGTGCGCTGTCATTTTTACCCTCCTTGGTAGTTTTTGTTCGTTTGTTTTGTTTTGTTTTTTTATTTTATTTTTTTTATTACTTATCATGGTAATAATAGAATACAAACAATCAATTTGAAAAAGCATGAAATGAAAGATTTGTTGATCACCTGAGAATAAAGTAAACGTGAACTAGTCAACGTAATAATTTTAATGGAATCAAGAACATGTATCAAGGCAGGTAAGGAAACAAACATGAAAAAACAAAAGATGTGGAAAACGTAGTTTTAAGAACATAAAGACGTGATGGAGTAATTCGGCATTGAGGAGAAGGTTGGGTGTTGGGGGGGGGTCTTGTTTTATTTTGTTGGAAAAAAATCAGTAAGGAAGCTTTGCTTGCGGTTTGAAATAACGCTCTCCTGCACGGCTCTCGTAACTGCCTGGAATTTAGTTTGAGATGTGAGGCCAGCAGATTCCATGAATACACGAACGGTGTTCAGGCTTTGCAACAGCTCCGAGGGAGAAGGCATTTTGGTCGCCGCTTCTTCTACTTCTACCTCTTCAGCTTCAGCGCTCTCCTCTTCCACTTCCACCTCCGCTCGGGATCGCTTTTTCCTTTCCACCAAGGTGTTTAGTTGAACAATTTCACCGTCTGTTAATTCGCCAGTCACAGGTGCGTCGTCATCCACGGCGATAAATTCTTCAAACATTTCAGGGTCCATGTTTTTCGGTGGAATAAATGTCACAGGGTTAATAATAGCTGGCACATCCTCGCTTGTAGAGTTGATAACGAAACCTGCACACTTGTAACAGTTTTTGATCGTTTCTGGGGTAACCAATGACCATGCTTCTTGCAGTAGGTAAATGGCTCTCAAGACAGTGATGGTGGCTAGAATGTCGCTGGCTTTCTTTGACTCGTCGGAATCGAGCTCGCTGATGATGATGTTGTTCACCGCAGCACGATAGTGGCATTTAAAGTTCCGAATAATGCCTTGATCCATAGGTTGATGTGTTGCGGTGGTATTGGGGGGTAAAAATTCCAACTTAATGCACGTAAGACCTGTTGGTTTAAGATGCGCTCTACAGGTGTCAACAAAAAGCACAATTGATCTTCTTTGAAGACGAAGTGATTGGTCCCACGATCGAAGAAAGTCGGTGAAAATGTCCGGTGTCATCAATGCATTGTCAGAGTGTTTATAGTCGACGGGAAGCTTTGACACTTTGCTGGGAAAGCCACGAGGCGATTTGCTTTTCCCAATTACGAGAAGTTTCTTTTTGTCAGTGCCAGACATATTGGCGCAGATGAGAATAGTGAGTCTATCTTTTTGTTTTTTGCCACCACTGATTTTCGCATTCCGATAAACGAAGCCGCGATCCGGGAGACCTTTGAAAAAGATTCCCGTTTCACCAGCGTTGTAGATATCATTAGGTGAATAATCATTCAAGAAACCACCTACCATCACGCGATCTTTCCAGTTTTGAGCCAACTCGAAGTCTGTGCGTTGTTTCTCAATCTCCCTGGCATGCCCCCGTCTGAATGTAATGCTGTGGCGTTCTTTGAAGCGGCTTAACCATCCCTCCGATGGTGTGAAGTCGTGGCCCATCTCCTCCGCCAATTGCTGCGCTTTCTGTTTCAGGATAGGTCCGTTGATCCTTGCACAATGCTCGTTTTTCTGACACAGCCAGACGTTGAGAGCAATATCGACGTCCTCTTCTTTGAAACGGGCTTTTCGCTTCCTTGAAAGATTTTGAAAATCTTTGGCGGTGCTGCGAGTTTCCTCTCTAGTTTTCCACAGTCTAGAAATGACAGATCTTGAAACGCCATGCTTGCGAGCCGTCTCGGCGAAGTTCTGATCTTGATCTTGGCCAGATTCCATCTCTTCGATTATGTTCAACTTTTGCTCTATAGTGAGCGTGGTTCTTTTCGCCGCCATGATGTTGGTTTTGGTCGATTTAAGACGTCGTTTAGTGTAATCTCTGATGAGGTGTAGTTTCGGTCTGTACTCTGTGGACCAGTCACGATACAACACACAAGGCTTACACACTGCCCGACGCCCGACTGCCTGCACTAGGCTATCGCTGCCCGCTGTGCCACATTCATACCACCGCCTTCACCCCACCTCGCGCGTGATCAGGAAAGCGGAAAGCGAGGGGCAAAGTGAAGTCGCAGCCAGCCTCACTTTCGCGCCTCCCCGACTCTCTTTGTATTTTTTCGTCTGTGTGTAGCTTTGCCCTAGGCCTAGACTAGATCCTATGTCCACACCACGCGCGTGACTGTGTGCGTCTCTCTGCCTTCCTCTCCACGTGTGTGTGTCTGTGTGTGTCTGTCTGTCTGTCGCCAACACTTGCGTTCTTTGTGTTTCTCTGATCACAGCTGCGGTGTAGACTGTTCGAACTTCGATGGGTCATCATGAAAGTATTGACTGTCTTGTAAATGAAGCGTGCCTGAAGTCGAAGTCACCGTGCTTAAAGGCGTGTAATTTATTATATTAGCAAAAATTCGAGCCGTTACTTAGCGTGCTTGAGTCCGAAACGTGTTTTATGCCGGCGTGTTTAAAGCCGGGCACGGACTGTACCAGCATGTTAGTTTTAATAATAATAATAATAATAGATAGCATTTGTATTGCGCATATCCCCGCTCAACAGCAGGCTCTATGCGCTTTACACTATATGTTAGTTTTACCATGATTCATGCTCATAGCATTTCTAGAATAGGTTGAATTTGGCTGGTCCTTCTTCTTCTCATTAATCTTTAAATAGATATCCCATATACTGTATCGTGGGTGGTTGGCGGGTGCTCTGGTGTGGTTTGCTCCTTCTTTCCTATCAAACATCTATCGTCCTTATCTCCCCTTCTTCTTTTTTATGTTTGTTACTCTCTTGTAACACCTCTAATCTTCAACACCACCTGGGGGGGGGGGGGGGGGGGGGGGGTTCGTAATGTGCCTAAATGAAAACTGGTTATAGGACAATGTTCATCTCATTATAAGGACATATAACGGACATACACATATATATTATATATAATATATATAGATATATATATGCCTCCTATATATATATATATATATATATATATATATATATATATATATATATATATATATATATATATATATATATATATATGCCTCCTATATATTATAAATTACATAAGTTATATGTGTCAGATCAACAGAATGGTGGCAATGTTGCAGCACATTTCAAACCAGCTTAAACAAACCAAGCACACGAATTTGTATATATGTAATAGAAGTCTTACTACCATAGAAATGAATGTTGCTGCCTGGTGGGTGGTTGGCGGGTGCTCTGGTGTGGTTAGCTCCTTTCCTATTTAAAAAAATTTATCGTTTCTAAATTTTTTTTTTAACTAAAAAGTTGCAGCCTGCTTTTTTTTAAAGTTTGAGATACTGGTAAAACAAACAAAAAAAAACAAGGGTGAAAAATCTGTATTTATAATGAAGTTCTTCTTTTCTGAAGTACCCAAAGAATACATCATCAAGCATTGTCCAACGACCTGAATTTGTCTCCTGAAAAAGTTAACTTGAATGATCAATATTTCCGGGTGGTAGGATTTCTTGAGCTGCTAGAGATGGAAAGCAAAGCAGATATTTGAAAGGATCAGAATCTCTTTGTTCTTACACAATGTCTTGCACACACTAAGTCTTGCAGTGGGTGGTTGGCGGGTGCTCTGGTGTGGTTTGCTTCTTCTTTCCTATCAAACATCTATCGTCCTTATCTCTTTTTCTTTTTTTATGTTTGTTACTCTCTTGTAACACCTCTAATCTTCTGGTGCTCATATGACCTTATGCAGTTGCGAGCGCTGTAAAACCTCTACTAAAACTAAAACAAATCTTGATTTCTACCCTTCTTCTTGGCAATGATTTGCACAGCAGACCCTCTAGTACATTCGCACTTGTAAATACTAAAATGCTTAAATAGATCTACTTTAACGGAAATACCACACCAATGCTTAACGCAAATCTAGTAATGTAATATAAATTGTCATGCGCAACCCCTCCCATATTATTTTGAGCCACTTCAAACTGTTTGGTCAGGTGAAAGAGTTGGCTCACTTTAAAGTGCACAATTAATTAGGTCAAGCATGTGATCACTTTACACAATTCTCGCCTAATGGTCATTTACTTTTCCTTCTCTGCCATATATGGTCATTTACTTTTCCTTCTCGGCCATATATGGTCATTTACTTTTCCTTCTCGGCCATATATGGTCATTTACTTTTCCTTCTCTGCCATATATGGTCATTTACTTTTCCTTCTCTGCCATATATGGTCATTTACTTTTCCTTCTTCCTTTAACTAAGAAACAAGAGTACATTCCACATTCTGGACCAGCTCAAAATTTCTTAAACTGAAACAAAAAGATGTTCACCCATGAAGGCATGAAGATACCCCATTCTCTGAACAATCTACTTGAAAATAGTTTTATACAACAATAATAAAAAGCAAAATTGTGAAGACTTATAAGTACTCGCTATAATGCAGAGAGGAAGGCACTGAAATAAATCTCAAAAGTTGAATTGTCTACAGAGAATTTTCTCTAGTCTTTGAATTCTCAGGCTTATAATTATATGGTTGCTTTTAAAGACAAGCGGGCTAACCCAGATTTCGGGGGTTTCCAGAAATCTTGACCTACACCAAAAGTGGGCATTGCCCTACCTACAGGAGAAGTTTGGTTTCATTGGTGTGTATATTTGTTTTGGTTATAATAGAGAAAACTCTCCTAGTATTTTTAAGAAACTGAACAAGGAGCAAAAACTTTACCTTCGATTTTATCAAAACAGCATTTTTCGGGATAGCCCCCTTGTGCTGAAAAGCGACCATATAATGAAAGAAGATCTCATGATGTATTGCTATTAGTGAAACTACCGTAAATGTCAAAATGTTGGACAACAAGTGTTATTACAAGGTATAATCTAGATGTGTATAAATGGACATAAGATCTGTTTACAGAATTCAGGGTGATTGTGTGCGTTCTGTAGTAATTGTCCATGGTTTGACTAACAGTGGTGTTTTTGTTTTAGTTTTAGTTTTGTTAGTTTGTTTTTTGTTAACATTGATCCACATTTAAAAACCGTCACAAATATGGAAGGAAGAAAAAAGCGAGCATAACTAGATCTATAGTATACCTTACAGAACAGGCCTGTAGTTTTTCAACTCTACGTATTATGTATAATAAATCTTCTAAGCTGCAAGTCTGAGCAGGACATTTGCTATTCAGACTGGAATGGTAGTTAGTAAGCCATTGCAATACATGTAGTGCCAATTTATCTAAGTCAATATTTTGCTCCACATGACATCAGGGATCACATTCATGCTTCGTACAAATATTAATTGTTACAACTTACCTACGAATTAAATTTGTATTTTTCCTTACATTTGTCTGCACTTATGGTTACATATGTACATGGAACATTTTATTTTGAATTGCCAATGATTGCAACATCCCTGTAGTTTACCAACACCTCATGTTTTTTCCTTTCAATACACGCATTTATACATGATTTAGTATATAATGTTATATATATATATGTCTAGGGGTCGCTTATTTTTTACAGGTGTTGGAAAATTGTTGTTTTGCATGATTAAAAGCAACTGAAACCACTTCATTCAGTCTTGAATTCTTCAAGTTTACATGATGATCTTCATCATTGCATGAGGATATGTGAAACATTTTGACAAAATGAGTTACTTCTCGGATTCAGGCCTTAAGGAAATAGATACATCACACTTATAGGTGAAGTTTTTACAATTTATAAGTATAAAATAAAAAGTATGTTATACTTAAGGAATATGGCATCAATAGAAACTCAACAAATTTGATTCTAGTGTCAATTTTTGGCCAATATCTCCGTTTGTGTACTGCGAGAAGCAGCTCATTTTGTCAGCACGCCTCCCTCACATATATTTTCAAGTTCGTTTACGTGAAACGCTCTGCTGTGTGCTAGATAGATTCTAGATTTAATCTATTCCTCTTTGACTTTGTACAGATGTTTTTCCTTCTCCTGTGTGGGTGGTTGACGGGTGCTCTGGTATGGTTTGCTTCTTTTTTCCTATCAAACATCTATCATCCTTATCTCACCTCCTTCTTTTTTTGTGTATGTTTATTACTGCCTTGTAACGCCTCTAATCTCCAGCACTTATATGCCGTTATTGTATTGCAAGTGCTGTACTTTTAAAAAAACTTGCCTAAAACTAAGAAAAAAAATAGCAGTACTGTATGCCCTCACAAGGTAAAATTTGAAGGACAGAAATGAAACCCTCAAGAGTTTGTCCAAATCGTATTTATTGTTCTATATTTTTCACAATATCAAATCAATCTGTGTCATAGAAATGCTGCACCATACATAGTCTTTGTGAAAAACAAAACATGCACATATATATATATCTGGATCATATGATCTGAAGATGCAAAGTCAAAGACTCAATCAGTTACAAAAATTCATACAATTAGCCATGAAAAGTGACAAGTTCAACAAACAAAAATCTGGGCTGCTGCAAAAAAAAAAAAAAAAAAAATTGCGCGAAAAAAAAAGAATGACCGCCACCACTGTAAAGAACATAGCCAGCCATAACGAGGACAGCACATTGACAATTCATCATGACTCTATTGGTCCCTTTTACATAACACAAGGGGGCTATCCCGAAAAATGCTGTTTTGAGAAAATCGAAGGTAAAGTTTTTGCCCCTTGTTCAGTTTCTTTAAAAGTCAAGGAGAGTTTTCTCTATAAGCAAACAAATATACGCACCGATGAAACCAAACTTCTCCTATAGGTAGGGCAATACTGTATCAACTTTTGGTGTTCAAGATTTCTGGAAGCCCCCAAAATCTGGGTAAGCCCACTTGTCCTTAAAAGAGACCAATTTTTTACACTAAAAAGGCAAATGTGGACGCTACATACTCGATGCAGCAATGTATTATACTGAAAGCAAGAGAGGCAGCATACACCAGCAGGTTCCAGTGAAAAATGGTTTCGGTTTAACGTCCCTATCAATATCAACACTGTTAGGGTATTTAAGAGGTGGGAACTTCGAGTTTAACATCCCTCTCCGAAAGGACCGAGCCAAGTGGAAAATTTGTATAAAGTGGCTTTCCCAAGGACACAACGTCGGACCGAGCTGGGGCTCAAACCCCCGAACTTGCAATCT